ACTTGCTACTATGCATCTTTATTAGAACAAATATTTGCTAAAGTTTTAGTGCGACATTTGCTTATATCTTGCATTTTGCATTAAATTAAATAGACCAAAGTATATATAAGAGATATGAGCAATTATTTAAATTATTTTATATTCTTTGCAAAATAAAATTCCAATAAGCCATTGAAAAATGAAGGACTTTAAGACGATTGAAGCTATTATTAATGGTTTACTGAAATGGAACAGACTACTGAAAACAAAATTCTTTTTTCAATGAATAAATTATTTTAAATTAGTGCATTAAGTTTACTTATTACAGCTACTAAATTAAATTAGTTTTTTATTATTCATTTTAATTGTAACTAATTTTTACTCTCTAAATATTATTTAATTTAATGAATATAAATTTGAATTATTTAAATACAAAATTCTCAATAGTTGACGTAGTAACTATCGTTTGTTATTCGAATAATGATTAATTCCTGTTCATTTATTTTGCAATAAATTGAATATTTATCTTATTGGAGTTTTTTCCTTTTTTTTTTAAATGAATTCTTGTTTTAATTTATATCAAATGATTGTAACACATTTGAAATTAATATTTGCAAAAGACTTAAGATATAAAAACAAAAATTGATTATTAACTGAACACTTTAAATGTTATTATTTATGAAATTTATTCATTTGAAAGTAAAAATTTTCAAATGTATAGTTATACAAATAATTTGATTTATTAGAGGAAGATTAATATGTTTAACCAATATCATTAACAATTGACATATTATCTTTCAATTAAATTCATTTTTATTTGCACAAATTTTTGTCCCGATTACTTGCATTGGTTATTTGAGTAATTAAGCTAATTGCAATTAGTTTCATCAACTTTTTTTAAAATTTATTTGTGATACCCCGTGATGAGTTATCATCATAAAGCACGAGATCTTAAGGAGGTGAAAATAATCCATCCTGAAAACTTTATCTGCCTAACTTAACTTTATCTTAAGCATCATAACCTCTATTGTTGATCCTTATCTGCTCGAAGGCAGTAATATCGATCACGTGATCAGTAAGCTGAAATAACTCTGATGAAACCGTTTAAGGAGCCGCAGGTGACGACGGTAGATTGTCTAAGATCCGTGTGCCAGAGTAGACATGGTGGTCAAGTGCGGTTTTCTTCAGATGCTTGTTGTTCCATACTTTTTTAAAGAGCTTCTGGAATGTTCTGGTATACCTTTTCTAACGTTGTCAATCCCTTAGCATCCAAGGACGTTTGTAAAAGTCATTGATTGCCTGAATAGAATCCGAGAGTGAATTGCCGTACCTGACTTGATCACTTATCCAGGTGATAATGCTTTGGTCAGATTAACAAAGGTTAAAGTTTTTATTGAGTAATTTATAGGGACACCATAATGTTGCCAGGTTTGCCATAAACCGTTTTGCTGAGGTGACTGATGCTTTGGTGAGATTAACAAATGTCACATAGAATTCTTTGATTGTTCCGTTTACTACAGTTGTGGTTGTCTGAGAACAAAAATCAAAATACCGCAAGAGCGGTTCGAAAAGCCCATCGCAAAAACTTTATCAGCTGCAAGGTACAAAGTGACACCTCGATGACTGTGCTTCCTTGTGCAAGGCGGTGATGACCGCATCTAGGAGGTCGGTAGCTTTGTTTCAGCACTTCACAATAAGCGCCTGGAATTAGCATGGAGTGCTAGACCTTCCAGATCCAGGATGGAATTCCATCAATCCCACATGTTCAGATACCAAATTTCAATTGCTATGCAGTTCTGAGCGACTCCTCTAGGCTATCAGTGATAAGGGAGCGCTGTGGGCCTAATATACTGCTTTCAGAGTCATCTGCGGTTGCCGGTATCTGCGAATGATTGCATCTTTTGTGGTAGATCGGTCCATCTGTTTTCCCTCTTTAATTTTGTATCAAAATGATTGTGTCATATTTGAAACCTACATTTGCGGTTCAGAACTTAAAATAAGCTTTTATTAATTCAATTACATAACATTATTATCATTGTCAATTTTTATTCATTAAGCATTTGAAATTAACAGATGAAAAGTTAGTATTCATAAGTTTCATTAACTATAGAACTATAAATTTTGAAAAAAAAAATTTGCGGTCCTATAAACTATTTGTTTGTTAAGAACTAAATGTTATATGCTTAATGATCAATAGAAATATTAATGAGTTTAGTAATTTGCACAATTCAAGAATCGTTCCAATTAATCATTAAATATTTCTTATCAAATTGTTAATTATTTGCATAATCATTTACTGAGGCAATAAACAAATAAGAAATCAACAATAATAATGGTACTAGTATTTGTGATAATTATAACAGCGCTAGCAATTATTTATCCAAAGAATATGCAAAATTTACACTTTCTTTCACAAATAATGTTAATTTAAGCTGATAAACTTGTGAGATATCACCCTTATTGGACTGTTATTTAGTTCTCATTAAAATTATTCCAATGTTTGCATATATTTAGAATGAAATACATAAGTGTTTAATTAGTAATTAAACACCTTCAAAGTTATACCTTATATCTTCAAAGTTACAATGTAAACTATGTTACGAAAAGTGGTTAAATTTTGATTTAGATGAATAAAAAATGAAAAAATTGAATGGTTAAATTTGTGCATGCATAAATAGCACAAATACTATTTTTATTGATAATAAAAATAATTTAAGTGGAATAATTTGGTAAAACTTAATGTGTTCTTTAATCTAAATGCTTTTTATAACTTAAAAAAAATTAAAAACCTTGCATTAGCTTTTATTATCACACTAATATTGTTTATATTTAACAAGAAATAAAAATAAATGATCTAAAGAATTTGATGATATTCAAATGAATTATTTAAGTGAAGAATTCATTGAGCGATGAAATTAATTATTGTTATTTCATAAAGCTTTGCTTTAAATTATTGCGTAGATATATGAAAAGAATATTAGGAATCAAAATTACATTCAAATATTACTGACAAATAATTTATTATGGAATATTTAAATATATTATTTATTTATTAGAGCAAAAAATTATTTGATAATTTATTTGATTAATTTAATTTAAGCTTCATTACACTAGCACATTGCCCTTGTCTATTATGGTTTAAAAAAAAAAGTATATTAGCATAATGATATGATATATTTGTCCAAATGAAATGCTAAAAATTTGAAATTAGCTTAGCTTGAGATTGAAACAGTTATTGATTTTATTATTACGATAGAAGTATAATAATTCCTATTAATTTATAATATTAAAAAATTTAATGAAATTTATAATTATAATAAAATTGAAATTATCAAATTCAGATATCAAATGATTTATTACGTTATACCTTAATGATATTGTTGTCGATAAGGATAAAATATTTTATTAATTTAACGTCTTCTTTGTACAACTGTTAAATCAATAAAATTGTATAAATGAAATGGAAATATTAGATCAGCCATAGATTAATGACAATAATTACTTTACAAAAAAAACGGATAAATTTCAATTATTAGTTATTTCATGCATGCCAAATGTTTAGTTTTTTATAAATTATTCAATATTTTAAAATATTTTGCTCTTTTATTTTCTTAATTTTTTTCAAAATAATTTTTGCATTTTTTTAAAAGTATTTTGTAAATTCCTATTAGATCTTTACATACTTATCACTTGATTAACATATATATATTTTTTGTAATTATATATTTTATTCAACAAAAAGTACCATTCATAATTTGTCTTAATTACTATTAATTACATTTCACTGTTAAAATTAATTATAAAATGCTTGAAGAATTATTAGATTATTGTCTAACAATGTTTTCCTCTCCTTTTCTTTTTATTTTCATTTGAGTTAATTTTCAATAATTAATTAGCATTTTAGATGAGTAAAACAATATATGAAAGCATTGTCAGATGCCTTCAACTGTTATTATATCGTTTCCGGTATTTTCTTATTATTATTGCTATTACTTATGGCTTTATTATGCTATCATATAATTTAAGGAATTATAAATTACAAAGAAAGGTAAATGCATTCATAGTTAATTGTATATTATTTGATTGATTGTTTGCTATTATGAATTGTTGGGTATTCTATCTCTTTTTTTGCATCTTTCATTAGATTAATTAATTAATTGATGGAATAGATAAAATTATAACGTCAACTTTAATTAAATAAAAATTACGAATGACTTTATCAAAAATTAATTTACATTTGAAATGAAATGAATTAAATTAAGGAAATTAGTGATGTCAATGATAATGTGTTAGAAAAACAAATAATTAATAATCAACAATTGAATTATGCTAAAATGTATGAACAAGAATCGAATATACATAATAGTATGAATGGTATTCCTTTTTTAAATTAATTTTTTAAGTTCTAAATTTGATTTCTTTTTATTCTAAACATAAACGTATTTGTTTGGAAAAAAGCATATGCACTGACCCAGTCATCTATTAGTCAAATTAAATTTACTTCTGATAATTTTAATTACAATTACAAATTGTAAATATTTAAAGATAATTTGAAAATTTTTGTTAAACATGATCAATCTGACATTTTAACTTTTACTGTTTTAAATGTAAATATTTAAGTAAACAACATTTATACAATTTTGTGTATTATTATCTATAAATATACATTTCATTACTATTTCATTTATTCGCCAATTCAATTAAAATATATTTTTTGAATATTTCAAAATTGATTTGCTTCCATATTATTATGAAATTTATTATCAGTGCATAAAAATGTATGATAAACTAAACCAAACACAGACAATAAAAAGAACAAAATTATTTTGTAATATTTTTAAATTTAAGTTTTTAACCTAAAATTAAATTTTTAGTTTCATTTATCATTCATATGAAATTTTTTTAAGATTATTTTTGTCAAATAAGTTCATATGAAATTTTCTCAAATTATTTTAAAAAAGACATAATGGAAGTAAATATTTGCAGCTATTCCATTAAATTCATCACAACATGGCGTAATTATGATTGAAAATATTGTTGGCGAAGATTCGAATGTGACACGTCAACGATTTATACCACCGGAAAATATCGGTTAATTTGAAAAAAATTCGCTTTTTGAAATTATTTGCATTTTCACTGTCCAAACTTTGCAAAACTTTTGTGCCATGCGAAACTATTTAATTTGCATCATTAAAAAACATCGATTTATAAAAAAAGCTAGCAATTTAAAAATTTTTTTCCATATATTCAAAAAATGTTACCATTTAAAATTAGTTTAAATTCTATGAAAAATTAAATCAAACAAATTGCACCTTCTTTTTTGAGAATCAAATTTGCCAGACAAACTATTAATTAATTTCGCCTCCTTTCTTGCAACGATAATTTTTAGGAGAAAGTGTGAAAATAATTGAACTAAGTAATGAAATTACTCAAATATCGAATATTAATATGGGTGGTTGTAAAGAATGGAAATGTATCATTCATTCTCGAAAATCTGATATGATTATGCCAATAGCTGAAGCTGTTTTGATGAGTTCGCCGAAAGAAAGTTATCAGCGATACCCCAACCAATATTATGTCCTTTTCACTCAGGTAATGATAAATTACACCTTTCATTCAGATGATAATGAAGAGCAACATTTGATACATGAATTGATTTGATCAAAGTTTATTTTATTCGAATTAGAAAATAAATTATTTTTATTAAAAAATTTAATTGTACTGCAAAAATAAATTAATTATAATCAAATGGTATTGTTTGCACATGATGGAATAAATGAATTTATTTAAATCAAATATTAAAGCATTGTTTTGGAAATTGGCAGATAATTAAATCGGTAATGAATTTATTATAGACAAACCTTACGATATTACTTCAGGAATTAGCAGATACAATGACATTGCATCAGGAAACAGCATGGATAATTAGATAATTGTAAACGTCATTGCGACGGGGAATGACAGCGCTATTTCAATATCATTTCAGGAGTGTACAGATAATTATATGATTAAATTATTACGGCATTACTTCAGGAATCACCAGCTAACTATCCGGTTATTGATTTATCCTTCAATTTATCACTGAATTTTATTCGTAACAGTCCAATTTCATCACCATACGGTTATACGGTTAAATTAGCAAAAGCTTCAAAGCCAATAGGCTCAATAATTCATGGTGATATTATACAAAATAAAACAATACCGATTGCGTGGTTTGTAAGTAATTGTAGGACAGCAAGTCAACGTGAACGTTACGTCAAACATTTAAAGGTTCTCTTCTTTTTTTTCCTCTTTCTTTTATATACATACATTATTATTACTAATAATTATAGTTATTATTATCAAATACTATTGTTGCAACAGTTATTATTGAACAATAACTGAAAAAAAAAAACCAATAAGAGAATTTAAATTAAACAATAAGGGAAAAATACGAGAAAAACAGAACAATAAGAGGATATAAATTGATTTATAATATGCAAAAAAGTAGAATATAAATTAAGCAACACGAGAAGAAAAATATGAGAAATTCTAAACAATAAAAGAATTTATTTCATAATATATCAAAAAGCAGAAAGAATTTTAAATAACGTTAAGAATTTACAGAATTTGAAATTCTTTCTCATATTCATTATTTAAAAATATTTTAATTATGAGTGATTAATTGAAAAATTACCCTACAGCAATTCCACCAATTGTTTATTTGCTAATAAAAAGAGATTAAATACAAAATATAAATATGCGTATATATCGATATTAATGTAAATTAATATCTTTCAGAAATATTTAACGGTGGATATATTTGGCTCATGCGGTAATATGCGCTGCAAACAAAACGATGCATCATGCGAAAGTCAACTCGATAATGTGTATGCATTCTTGCTAAATTACATTCATTAACATCGCAAATTTACATTTTTTACAGAATTTTGCAACTATCATTCAGCATTACAAATTTTATTCCCTCATTTAGCATTATAAATTAGTAATTGTTTATGATAGCCACATTTCATAGCATCAGGAATTCATATTTTTTCATAGCAATTACGAATTCGCATCTATATAGTATCATAAATTCGCATTTGCATAGCATTATGAATTCGCAAACATTCTTTACTTAGCGTTACTAATTCATAATCATATCATTTGTATGACACCATAAATTCGCAAGAATTCTCATTCTTCATAAGAATTCGCAATCTTACATCTGAAATTCGTGAATTACAATTCTTTATCACATATAAACACTGAATTAACATACAGTAAACAGTAATATTTGTTGCTTTATTTTTGATCAAATTTATTGTATGAAAACTTAAACAAATCATCATTTAAATCAAAGAAGTAAATTAAATTTCATAAAAAAATAAAAGAAAAAAAAAACCTTTTAATTTTATACAACAATTATTTAATATGTCAGCACAGCAATAATTGATAAGAAAGAAAAATAAAGATTAAGAAAAGTTAAATTATTGATATAATAACCAAATCTGTTAATATTTTTGAATATTAAAAAAAATAAAGCTAATCATTAATTTTCAGCTATTATTTTTATTTATCATTTGAAAATTCAATATGTGAAAATTATATAACAGAAAAATTATGGAAGCATGGATACGGTCACGACATTATACCAATTGTATTAAAACGATCGATCGTTGAACGATATGTACCACCGCACTCATTCATTGCTGTTGATGACTTTACAACAATTCGTGATCTTGCTAATTATTTAAAATATTTAATGCATAATCTATCAGCATACAAGTAATTAATATCGAAATTAACATTTAATTGTATTTGAAATATTTATTTTATAGTAAATTCGCATACAGATAATTAATATTAGAATTAATTTAATTGCCTCATTTTTTATTTTAATTAATTATTAATATTTTTACATTGTATTATCGATTAATACTTTTCCAAAAAATAGCTTCTTAATTTTTTTTACTTATCTCCATTTATTTGTTTAATTTTCAAAAATTTAACAAAGAAAAAGAAGAATGAAAAATGTTCGAATTTAAATATAAAAATTTAATTGTTTATCTTAATATAATTTTTTTTTCATTTCATTATTAGCAACTTAAAAAATTTGTATTTGTTTGTTATTTTGAGAAATTATTTCTTAATAAATTAATAATAAAATAAATATAAGGGAGTATTTTGAATGGAGACGAGATTATAAGGTGTTATTTTTGGATGGAAATATTCATGATCAGTTGGAACGACCGTGGGGATTTTGTCAACTTTGCAGGTCATTCATTTATTTGCGTTAATTGAAATAATTAATTAGGATGATTAATTTCAGATTAAAATTTTAGATTCAGTTAGAATAAATAATGAAAAAAATTTCTAACATTTTAAACACATTAGGAAAATATTTGTTTTTTTTTTTAAATTTTCGATATCTTTCCATTCCACTATTGATTATTAATTGATTTACGATACATATAAAAAAAACATATTTGTATAATTTAAAGATTATTATGGATGAAACCGCGCCCAAAATATGTTATTGAAAATTTCACCATTTTCTGGGATAATAAATGTGAATCATCTGGCACATTAGTGAATAGAATTTTACAAGAAGAAAAATTAACAAAAAAAAAAAATTAATTTCGATGCGAAGTTATTATGATTAAGTTTACTATCATTGTTGTTATTGTTGTTAGTGATAGTGATAATCAGAATATCTGCTCAATAATAAAAATAATTATTATTTTGACGAAATAACCTAAAAAGGGTTAATATTCATTAAAAAAAATTTTTTATTTTTTTTATTTTAGTAATTTTATCGAAGCTTATTGTTACATTATAAATCAATTATTATTTTAATATTTTACAAAAAATCTTAAAAATTGTCTCTAATAAGAATCACGAAATAACGAATAATAATTTCTGATGGATCGCATTTTATGCGGGAATTAATTGATTTTCATACTTATTTAGTCGAATAAATAAAAGAAAAGAAAAAGCATCAAACTTTTTCTTTTTTAGATGATATATAATTATTGATCAGTTTTAAGTAATGTTTAAAATTTTCGATTGCCAATGTTTTGTTTAATTTTGTGAATGCAGTTGTAAAAAAATTGAATAATATTTTTGATAGTTTCGTGAAATGAAGAATGAATGTATTCCAATTTCATTTCAGATTTCAATTTCGGTCTGAGTATTGATTTTATGTGATTATGAACTAACTTATGATTTAACTCATCTCCAGTGTCGCTTTATAATTTATTTACATTTTAAATTTATTATATAGTTTTATTATTATAAATTTATTATAAAATATCAACATTCGATATCGTTTTATTAAAATTTATCATAAAAGTATTAACATTCAAACGGCAGTCGGTTCAATCGCAAAAGATTGAAAACACATACCAGAACTTTAGAATAACTTTATCCGGAAACTGTTTTCTACAGACAATGCTATGTTCGCTGTCTAGACGCAAGCGTCACTGTATTTGTGTAATTCATACTCTGTAGAGATTGCAAAACATTCCGGAATATATGTCAGTTTGCAGAACACAAAAGTTCTGTTTTGGCTGTCATCACAGGCCACATCATAAGATCATCTAAGCTTACATCAGTTTAGCAATTTACCTGTCTAAGGAGAGATCATTTCCTGGAATGCTAAGATCAATAATGGACTAACAAAGGTATGCTAGCAGAACATTCGGTATGGGACGGTAAGGATCTGAAGAGAGACTGTCACAGAGCCATTGCACTGAATATTCTTCCATGCGATCACTACCTGCGACTCCACTGGTTGTGTCACCAAAGAAGTACGTGTCTCACTTATGAAAGTCAGTGCATGAGAGAGACACGTGAATGTGGTATCAGTGAAATGAAATTTTTAACGCTTTTAAATTTATTACTATTCATTACAATGTGATAAATGAACAAAATAATAATAGTAAAATAATGATAATAACATAATAATAGCAATAGTAATAAACAATTAATGAAAAAGTTAAAAAATGTGTTTTGTAAAAAGGCAAAAAAGCAATTCAATAGGAATATTTTTAAAATTTGAGTTACGTCAAATAATAATAATTATTAATAATAACAATAATAATAATAAACAATTAAAATAATATTTCCAAAATTTGAAATCTGTTAAAGAGAGTGAAAGAGTGAAATGTTACATTAATTGGATGATTGTTACGGGAAGCATCATTTGAATTTACAATTATAAGAAAAATGTGGCGCGTTTTTTGAAAAATCAATCTTTAAAAAATTATTTAAAGTTTATTCTACGGAAAGAGCAAGAAATATTGAATGTAAAATTTTTACCTGAATTTAACAATAATGAATTTGCTAACAATGATAGAAATTTAAAATTATTATGCAAATGATAGAAATTTAAAATTATCCCTTTTAAATTTTATCGTAGTATTTCTTAAATTAGACAAACGTAAGCGTAAAAAAGTATTGCCGATTATGTTAACTGATGTGAAGAAAAAAAGTATATTACATTTCAGAAACTTTAATTTTATATAACATATATATATATATATATATATATATATTTCAAATTAATTTTAATAACATTCTATATTATTTCATATTTTACAATATTAGAAACGTGTGAATTTTGAACTTCCGTTATTACATGCTTTGAATGTAGTATATTCTTTAGAAACCGACATTTCATTGCTGTAATTATCAACGATAGTTTCAGGTAAATTATCAGCTGCCTGTATCACCTCCAGGTGAGTTGACAAAGTCGACAATTTTTCTTCTATTTGACTTTCATCCTAAAAAAAGATGAAAAAAGAACAAAGCGGCAAAAAGAAATTCAATTTGATCAAAATGTTTATTATTATCATTAACATTATTTTAATCATTATTTACTGTCATTATTATCATTAGCATTATTACTATTATTATTGTTATTATTAATCATTATTTACTATTATTACTACTAATTGAAAAAAAAAACATTTCTCACTTTTTTTACTTGCTATGTATTTCAATCTATAATATTATTCAACCTTTTTAAATTTGTTTAGTTCCCTTAATTCAATCGTTCAACACTATAGCTATAAATAATACACATTTCTTGCAATTTTTTACAGAAGTATAAAATAAAATAAGTCATGAAATTCGCTTCAATTTACTTAAATGATTGAATTATTTTTACTTTAGAGCAATAGTCATTACTTGCTCTTATGCAAATAGCCAATATTTTGAGTATTTATTGAAATTTTTAAGAAAATAATAATACCTTTTTAATTACAATATTTTCACTCCCAAAAAGTGATATATTTATGATATGCTTATCATGCTATTATTATTTTACTATTATCTGCTTATTTTTTTTACAAATAATAAAATTTATGCAGTTTTCAAGATTAAACAAAAAAAAAAACGAAGTGTCATAAAAAGTGTCATCATATAAAATACTTAGCAATTTATACTTACCTCATCATCACCATCATAGCTAATTTTTTCCGAATTTATCGAATTATTTTCTTCTTCCTTTTGCTTATTTTCATTTTCAGTTTTGCTCATTTTCTTTCGTAATTTTTGTCCTTTCTTTTTAAATTGCCTATTTTGCGGTTTTTTATTATCATTTTTATCGTTTAATAATGAGAAATGCTTAGTAGTGTTTGTTTCACATCCATAATTTTGCTTTCGATTTTCTTCTTCTTCGTGAAGAATACTTAATTCACGGCGTTCTTGCTGCTGTTGTTGTTGTCGTTGCCGTTGTTGTTGTTGTTTTTGTTGTTGTGGTTGTAGTTGCAATGATGAATGCAATGAATTGTGATTTTCTGAAATTTAGAAATTATTTTGTTAAATAATAATCTTTTCTTCTAATTATAGCACAAAGTATTACTTTTATAATAAGTACCATTTAATTTTAAAATAATTAAATAATTTTTTAATTTTTGTACTTTGTTTTTTGCACGAAATCAAATTAATTACATTGCTTATTATTAAAGTTATTAGCAAATAGTCTCTAATATTTATTTTTCAATTTTTTAAAATATTACTTGTTTTTTCATCCAATACTGGTGATTCAACGTCAGTGACAGATTCTACACGTGATGTCAGACGTGATAATCGTCGTTTGAATGCATTACGAATATCGTTTACTGTCATACTTAACGCGGAATTTCTTCTAAAACTGAATCACTACAAAAATGATAGCAAAAAGTAAATTGCAGTATTTTTTTATTGTAAAAATTAATTTTTGAAAACAAAATTAATGTAAAAAATAATTTTTAAAACAAAAAGTAGAATTGATAAAGCATTAATAGACAAAGTCATAACAAACAAAGTAAAATTTGCATAATAAAAAATAATCACTCATATTTTAATTATTATTTTGCAATGAGATAAATTTTGCAACTTAATAGTGTATCGTAATATAATCAATAAAATGATTAGTTTTAAAATGAAGTCAAATGTATATTTCTTAAAATTTTAAGCAATCCAAAAAATAATTTCAATTTTACTTAATTGGTAATTAATGTTTAAATCATTTAAGCTGTTCTAACCGCTTATATAAATATTAAACAGTTTGAAATTCATGCTGCTACATCTATGCGACACTCATTAAAATTGGTTAATTTAATATTTTGCTTTAATTAAGTAAAACTTTACTAAACTTTAAAAAGAGCATTCTGGCACTTGAAATTCAACATTAATTAGTATTTTTTGTCTATAATAATTAGCAAATTATTTTACCTTCCACTATCATACCTTCCACCATCACATTCACTACTTGGCAAATCGCTATCTGAATTTAAATGTAGCATTTCTTTCATTATCATTTGTGTACTTGACCGTCGACTAAAATTTAAAATTACAATATTTATTAAATGAAAAAATTATTAATTGGAATAAAAAATGAAAGGCAAGAAAGAAAATAGTTGAATTAAAATTGGTGAGTAATTAAAAATTGCTAGAAATTTAAAAAATTACTAAATAATAACATAAAATCACTATTTGATATACTGCAGAATTTTAACAACTTTTGAAAAAAAAAAACTGCAAATATGAAATCAAAACTAACCACATTTTAAATTATATTATTTAAAATCTAAAAAATGTTTAGTAAAGTTGTAAATGAAAGAAAAGTTCCAAATAATATTTAAATATTGATTTAATAAATCAATTTAAATGTTTAAAGTACAAGTTAGTGCATGAGACTGATCCGGTTTGCGGATTGTATCGTTCGTTGATCGCATCAACGCTATACATCGGTTCCGGTGTTTTCATCATCCAGAATTGATCCTTAATTAATGGTGGTTCCCACATTTGATCAACTATTGTCATGCCAACCTATGAGTGATTAAAACACATGATAGAATGTCAAAAGTGAGGGTTCAAAGACTTAAAAATAACTTTAGTAAAAAATATGAAAGTTAATTTAAAAAAAAATCAAAGAAATCAAAAATTTTTTTAAATCAAAAATTGTAAAAAGTTTTTGCAAAATATTCTAAAATACTATTAATTTTATTTAATAAATCTAGTTAAATATTTACCTATGCATACATATTTAAAATTGCTTGAAATATACCGTGAATTTTTAATACTTGTAAATGTAAAATACACTTAGCGTAAGTTAGCGTAAAATTGAAATTATACCTGTAAATTACGATCAATAAGCCAGTTAATTTCCAGGTCATCGTCATCGTCACCAAATGGATTCATTAAAACTTCAGCAACTTTCATCCAACCCATATAAAATATGAATTGGCACATTGATATGAATGGTATATGCGTGTTAATCTTAATAATTGATTGATTGATTTGTCTTTTTATAATAATAATAGAAAATTATTTCCAATGTCTTAAAATTTTCAACTTATCGCAATTAAATTTTCAAACTATGATTATTAAAATGATACCAATAAAACAAATAATAGATATTAAAAGCAATTTCATTTAATTCAATTGACAAATATTCCAATATTATATGATGTAAAGATTCACAATTTAAAATATTTAATTACCAAAGCTTAAAATTGCCGAAATAAATACTAAATTACACATTTTTGCTTAATTCATTAATAAAATAATGTATTTCTAAAAATCTTTCTAATAGAAATATTATTTTAATATATTCTTATATTAAAATAAATTACATTATATTTAAAAAAGCGAAACAAAATTGTTTATTTTTGTTTTATTTAAACATACAAAACTTAAAATTTTTATTTATGTGGTTGAACTGATTTAAAACAAAAAAAATTTCACACAAAATTTTTTTTAAATAAAGTTCTATTTAAACTAGTGAACTAATTTAAAATCGATCAATGTAGTTTAATAATTTCAAAAAAAAAAAATTAAAAATTAAAAAAAGATAAACTGTATCGACGTAATTTGCATCAGGTGACTGAGCAATATTTTGATGTCCCATTAATGCAAGAAAAAAATACAATCGAACAGTTAAGCAAATCACTTGTGAATAAACCAATGGTATTGGTACCCAATCAATAATAATTAATTGTGCTAATTGCAATCGGAAATTATTTATTTTCTAAAATGAAAAGTTCTTTTTTCTTTATTCAAAAATAAATTTATTTAATTTTTTTCTTTCAACTTTTTCTTCCTCTTTTCTTCTTTCAAAATAATTCTTTTTTTTTTTTTTCCAAAAAAAAGATAAATTTTACATCAAAAATATCTTGCAATGCATGCGGGCTATCGATGCGCTTTTCTTGTCGCGCACGTCGTGCCAATCCCATTGCCCAATGAATTGGTATCCAATATTTGCGATTTGTTGAATTAATTGCATTAAATTGCATTAATTCAATTTCTGTTAAATAACCTAAAGAAAAAGCTTTTTTTTTGGAACATAATTTTATTTTAATAAAAAGTATAAAATTAGATAGAAGAAACTCTGATTTTAATAAAATTTTGAGAGAACGAAAAAGCATAATTTGCATATTTCATAATTTAGTAATTTATTAGTGTATATTAATTAAACTAATTTTTTCTATCAAAATTCAGAAATAATAATATATCTTACAGATTTCTAATTTATTATTGCATGTTAATTATAATTTGCATATCTTATAATCCAACAATTTATTAATGCATATTAATTAAATCATTTTTTACCGTTATCCAAATTATATGCAAATATAAGTTATCCTTTATAAAAGTACCATTTTCCAGAGAAAAAAAAAGTATAATTATATTAGTTAATTAAAGGAATTATTTGACCGAATATTTTAAATATACTAGTGCACTAATATTTATTGAAAAAAAAGATATAAATGTTAACAAGTAATTGTTTATACTCAATTTATTTCGATATTTTATTTTATCACTACTTAATAACCTAATCAATTATTTTTCTTTCCTTTAGTCCTATCATAACGATGTGATTAGAAATTACTTTGATAAGTTTTACAAATAAATTTCAAACAATTGAAATATTTCACGAATGAATTTACCAGCTGTTACTAATGTTTCCAATGAAGGAAATCTTCGACGTATCACTTCACTGATATCACGATATACAAGTACCTTCAAAAAAAAGGAAAAAAAAATGGAATAATTAAAATTCTTCAAACGTACATTAAATGAATTTAGAAATGTAAATTATTAAAATTCATAAAAATATAAATCGTATGGTTTTAATTTTGAGAAAGAAAGAAACATTGCTGTAGTAATTTATATTTTTTTAAATCTTTAAAAGAATTCTTGCAATCTTATTCTAATAGTATCAAATTAATCATTTATTATTAAATAATTTAGAGTAATTTAAAAATTTTCAGAATTAAACAAAAATTTGTAATAATCTTAAAATAATGAAATATAAAAAAAAAATGTAAAAATTAAATTTACAATAAACTTGCATTAGTTATTATATTACAAATGTAAATTAAAAAAAAATTTTTTAAAAGTCTACTGAAATCTTAAAATTTTTGGAATGATTCATTATATACCTGATAAAACAGTAAGTAACGGATTATATTGCGACGTAATAAACGTGCGTGATCATCGCTACCAGAAATATATTTGCATATATATAAGGCTGATCTATAAAAAAAAATATTATTAATCCAATTATTCATATTTTCAGATTATAGTTTAACCTTTAATTTATTTTTTTATATTTTTACTTTCTGTTTATTTCTTGACAAGTTTCTACGTTTCTACTTTTATTCAGTTTTATTTTTTAGCTTTTTATTCGTTTTTTCATTAATGATAATTTAGTAATTTGATAATTTTATAATTACATAAAACAAAAAATATTAAAAATTATTTGATTATAACAAATATTATATATTTATTTTATTGAAATATAAAAACAAACACACATGACATCACTATCTTTCATAACTAATTGCTCATTTAAATTATTGTATTCAATTTATAAAGCATAAAAAAAAAATAAACACAAAATGAAAAGATAAACCAACGTATCAATCCAACCGATATTACGTAATGAACTCCAAAACCTATTAACAACAATATTAATAAAAAAACCAAGCATAAATGTTATTGGCATTACATCAGTATATTTTGTAAATAAACGGCATATATTCTCAAAGACTCTGTAAAAAAATATATAAAATTGAAAAATTTATTGATGTGAATTTTAATTCATTTCAATTCATTTATACTATTAACATTAATCACAATAAATTTTTCTCTTTTTTCTTCTCTTTCTCTTTTTGATTATTAAATAACTAAGTTTAAATGGACAAATTAAATTCAATTTAAAAATCAATTAACCACAATTAATCTCGATAATTTCGATAATAAATTTAGATTTCATATTCAATAAATTGAACATAATTTAGCAATTAAAACATTACAATTAATATGGATGGCTTTTTCTTTTTCTATTTTTTTTTTTTTTTTGCTCGAGAAATTAAATACTATTAATTTATGGAGTTGATAGATAATTTGTGATGATTTAAACTTTTCATGCTTATTGCAATTTAATGCTATTTTAAAACATATTTGCATACCTTTTGTGTGTTTGTTTTGAAGTGTAACAATATTTGAATTAAATATGAAATCAATGCTAAATGTGTATATTATTTATTGTGTTGGAAAAAAGTAAACAGTTGTTGTAATAAAAAAGTGCTAGCAATGAAGAAAAGAATAGATTATTCAATTTCATTCTTTGCTTTTTAAATCAAACCTTTTGTAATTTTCTGACAACACAAAATTGTACAGTACTGAAAGAGAAGCATAAGCAATCATCCATATAATAAGCTCATTGAAGATTGATTTCCAAATGCTACCTCGCCACCTGCAAGATAACATACTAGTCATACTTCATCGTAGTAATAGTAATAGCAATTATAGTAATAATAGCAATGAAAATGGTCTATAATAATAATAATGATAATAATAGTAAAATAATTAATTAGTTAAATAAATATATGAGTAAATAAATAATAACAACATTTTATACTTTAAACCATTTTTCTTGTCTACTTTAAAAGGAACGTGCAATATTTTTTCTTAACATTTTCATTCTTATTAATTTCTTTAAAAACTATATTTATTATTTTTCAGCACTATCATATTTATTTGTTGATTTATTTATTATCAATAATAATTTTAAAATGATGCAAAGCTTATATACCTGAAGATTAATTTTCCAAAAGTGGTAAATCGAACAGTACTAACATCCGCTGAATATGTTACTGTCATGTTGGATATTCTTTTGCCCGAAATCAAAAATTAATATGGGCAGCTGCTATCGATAATCAGTAAATTGACATTTTTTCGGGCTTTTTTTTTTCTTTTGAATTTTAACTTAAAAAAAGTTAATTTTTGCTAGCATAAAATGCTGGATTAACCCGACCATCTAAACAATTCATTTCTTGGTACCAATATTGTCGCAAATTTAAAGTACCATTCAAAATGAAATTCTCAAAGCACATCATCGATCTTTCTCGTTTAAAGTAATTACTGTTCACATTACCTTTTAATCTGACAAATCAATAAATCTTACCTTAAAAAATAATAAGCGAAGACTTTTTTCCCTACTTCATTAATGCTTCTAAACAATTGATATTTTACTTCATTAGAGTAATGATGTTCTTATCTATATATTAAAAATGGTTTTGATATGTAAATTTATTGAAATGAAACATTTGAGCAATGAAAAAAAAAATATAAAATATAGTTAAAATTACCAACTGACTTATTTTTTCAAAGAAAAATTCCTAGTTTTCTGTATAAAATAAAAATAAAATCTCTCTTACAGCTTTTCATTTTTCTTAATATATTAATTGTAACATTGTTAAGAACAGAAAAACTTTTTTGTTAAGAACACAAAAACAATAAATATATATATATTTAATTGAGCTCAAATCATAGGAATGGAATGCATTAATTGTAATTAATTATATTAAATATTAAAGTCATTCCTTCCATTTAATTCCATCCTAATTAATCCTTACTTTTTTGACCATATTTTATAATTTAAATATGAAAAATTAATCTCTAATTTATTCAAGACTGAAATATTATTTAATAAAAATGTTATATGAATAAAAAGTATTTTACAATTATCCTTTTTAATAATAATATATGATATTTGAATATTGTTTAATTACATCGTTGTGTAATAATTAATTACCACAATATTACTTAATGAATGATTGTTTTTTCTTAACACTTAAGATAGTTAAAGTATTATAGGAATAGAATCAGTTAAAGTATTACAGGAATAGAAAAAAAAATCGTTTAATCAAAAGATGAAAAAAAAAAGGAAGGAAGAAAAGATATTGGAAAGCAATAAGATACAATGCTTATTATATTTGATATGTTGAAAATGCAGCAATGCATATATTTAAAATATATTACAATGTTTACTTATTATCTCATTGCTAATGCTATTCGGAACGGTTGTTTTATCTTTTTTTAAAAAATTCCTCTATTATTAAGTAACTTACTTATTTATCAAATTTTTTTTTCTTCCATTAAATTTGTTTTTTTATTTTAATACGCTAATAGATTTTGAAATTTATTTTTGCAAAATTTTAAGTGAAATAAGAAAAATGATTCATACGTTATAGATTATTATCTAAAGTTTAAAATTATATGTGCATGCGTTGTTGTGCCATTTTTAGTTTTTTCAATCTTTTTTTTTAATTTTTTACTTCCGTCAATTTCATTAACACATGTTTGTGATAACATTGATGATCATGATAATGACAATAATAATAATAATAATAATAATAATAATAATAATAATAATAATAATAATAATAATAATAATAATAATAATAATAATAATAATAATAAAATATTAACTCATTATAAGAGAGAAAGAGAAAATGAAGCGTGGGTGGAGAATATGAATTTAATCATATTAATAAAGTTTTAAAACTTTCTATTAAGCAAAAAAATGACAACGAAGAAAAATCATTTGCGATGTGTGAACAAATCGATTGAATGTGCTTGTTGTTTGCATTGAAATATTAATTAAATTCATTGTATGATACAGTTTTCATTGCTATTTTGTATAAACAATTCATTTTCTTACCTTTTTTCTTTATGATAAAAATGAGTTTATGCATACAAATTTAATTGAAATTTAATGCATTTTGTATATTTTTATTTTTGTAAAAGTGAATAAATTTATTCCATTAAATCACTAATGTTATTGCATTAAAACTGATGGAGAAACGAGGTGAAAAGAGAGAGGAGAGAAGGGAGAGAGAGGCAGTAACAAGTAGAAAAAAAAGGTATTAAAAAACTTTTTTAAAATACTTTCATTCATCCATTCCTATGTCAAAACATTTAATTTGAGAGTTTTAGAGGCCACACTGTGTTTCATGTAGTCTAGTGGCTAGGATTCGTGGCTTTCATCCACGCGACCGGGGTTCGATTCCCGGCATGGGGATGCCCTGACAACTTTGTCTGTAAATGCATACTTTATACTAGTTTATAAAAAAATCAAATTTATGAAAATATATGTTGATATTCCTTCGGTTGTTGATTTTCAATTGTTATCTGCTGATAAATAACTGAAATTGTAACGCCACTTTTATGTCCTCTGAGGCGAGGGTAAGCTTTTTGTACATTGATTGAGTTAATGGGTTCAAAATATCATTTTATGCTACCAGATGATTGCAAAGTTTCATTTACCAAATACTTTTTTTTACCAAATATGGAGTATTTTCTTTGCTTCTGATCGAATTGTTATGAAAAACAAAAATTTAATGGGATCAATTTTAAAAAAAAAAAAAAAGACTAAATGGATTTTTTGTGAGAATTGAAATGAATTAAAATTTTGCTAAGCTGCAAAAAAAGAGAAAAAACATAAAATGCAGTTGTTCAAATTTCAATTTTTAAAAAATTTCTTGTTAGAACTGTTTGAAATAAATTAAAATTAACCGAAATTCCGCAGAAATGTTAATGTATTTGTTCAAAATTCAATTTTCAGTGTTTAATAATTTTCAAAAATTCCAAGCTAAAATTGCTAGTAAAATTTATGACTTTTCTACCAGTAAAAAAAAATGATTATAGCATACAACTAATCATGAAATAATTAATTAAAAATTGATATTAAAAAAAGGAGCATTTAATTGATTATGTATAATAATATATTATTTATCCAATAATTTTTACAGAAATTATTTTGAATAAATTCTGCTAACTTCTAGATGATTCGATCGCGCTAGCAAAATTATCTTTTGATCTTACTTTCTTTCTAATTTTAAGGATTATTATTTAATGAGTAATTAGTGTTAACTTCCAATTAAACCAAAGTATGGTTGGTACACCATTACGACGTCATTTTAAGTCACTTTTTTCTAATTATTCCGTTTCACCTGGTTTGTTTGCTGCTCTAAGAATTTCCGGAATTTTTCGTCACTATGATAGTTCACATCGACAGTTTACCTGCACGTTGAAGGAAGACGAAGCATTGTATGATGCGTTGCAGTTAGAAATGAATGAATTTTACAATAGTGAAATTGAATGTAATGTTGCATTAATGGTAATTTTAAAATTTTTCCAACTTTTGATTTTTATTTTTCATATTTAAAATGAATTATTTTTAAATTTAGCAAAAACTTAATTGGCCTAAATTTTTGATAAGATTATGCTGAATATTTTCTCAAATAATACGAAAAATTGTAGAGGTAACACTAGTTTGTTATAAAGTAAAAAAGGTCTTCATATATATTTCTAGTTATGCTTTAAAATTGTAAAAGTTGGTATTTATATTTTGTTTTCAAGAACGAAGGTGATAATTATATTGAGTAGATGGATAAAACTAAGAGACTGTATTAATGGAAAAAAAAAAAACAAAAATTTTTTGATTTATAGGTAAAACAAATGGGTATTTACGCAGCTTGCGTGGACGGTTGTTGGAAACGTGTACGTGTTGATCGAATTGATTATGAAACGAACAAATGTTGGATTGAAACAATAGATGATGGTCAACTAGTAACACTTAATCGCTATGAATTATTTGTGTTAGATCCAAGATTACTTACCAACCAGTACAAACGAACTTTTGGTGTACATTTTGTGCTACCGTCTAAATGTGAGTTTTTTAATGTAATTAACGCAATTAATAATCAAAGACATTTAAGAGATTATTATTACTATTATTGCTATTGTTATTGTTATTACTATTGTTATTATTTTTATTGTCATAATTATTGCAGCAAAGCAAAATTCTCTGATAGAAGCAGGTTTTATTGATGGAGAAAAATTATGTAATGGACAGTTAGTGAATATTTTCGTTTTCTCGGATCGTGAACCATTCTTATCTCTTCTCACAGAAAGTTGGTTAATTAATGAAAAGGAATAAATTGTTACTTAAATAAATAAATATAGAAATGATTATGAATATAAGTATAAATATAAATGTAACTATAGACAGAAATATAAATTGACTTTATTTTGTATTTCTCTAGTAGGAAATTATTGTGTAGTAAAAGTATTTCAAAAATATACATCGACAATATTTAAAAAGTTAAGGTGAAAAAAATAATAAATCAAAATTTCAGCTTTTGTAAAAATTCAAGTAGAAAAGTTAGTTGATGATCTTGATCCAGGAAGTGCAAGACTTTGGTATGTATTTATATTATCAGTATGACAGCATTACAACTATTAATATATTCATCAGAATTGAAAACGATCATTTGTTTATTACTGATATTTTATTTAATCGTTAGATATATTTCGATGTACTCATAAATAAATTCAATTCTAGGAATAAGCTAATTATTGTTTCATTTTTTTTTATGCAAAAAATTTTTTATATGTGTTTAAAATGTATTCAATCATGCATCTATATAATAGGCATTCATATTTTCATAGAATCGGAAAAAAAAGGACAATGTCCTATAGATGAGTAGGTCAAAGGTTACATGATACATGAATGTAATAATTGTAATACTGTTAAAGATGAGAAAAATTAAATTAATGATTGGAAGTAAAAAAAATTAATCTAATTGTATGCAATAATTAAATAATTCCTTTTTGCTTTATTAATACAAAATTTGAATAAAAACATTTTAATTGAACAAATAACATAAAATATTGAAAACTGAAACAAACAATGGAATGATGAAAAGAAAAAAAAGGAAAAATTTTAAAAAATCATAGATTAATTGAAAAAATAAAAGATAATTAAGTAAATGAATAAACTCAGGGCAACAACATTAATCGGAGAATCACAACGA